TTTCTCTTATATTTTTTACAAATATTTATTGTTCTTTTATAGATCCAGTTCGGGACTTTGAAATTACCAATTGAACTTATTCCACGAATTGAACCTGAATATTCAACTCATTTGTTTGCGTGTGTGTGTGCGTGTGGGTGGGCTGGGTGTTTGTCTGTGTAGGTGTGCATGTGTGTGTGTGTGTTTTTAGACAATATTTGTGGATGATTGCATGCTTGTGCAAACGGCTTTCATGTACGTGCACAGCAAATTTATTTGCACGAATGCAATGGATGCTGTGCGCCAGGTTTTGCAGCTCACAGAGCGAGCCCCTCCCCTCCCCACTGCCAGCCCGATGCGCCTTTACCGAAAGCTACCCCAACTCGCCTCTATTTAAAAATTTGCCAGCGACTGCGTTGGCGCTGTCAAAGTTTGCCTTGGCGCCGGCCTGACGTGCGCCATAAAAGTCTGTTGCATAAACCAATTTCGCATTTGCCTTGCACGAAATGCATCTGAGTGGTCGATGGCGGCGGGGTGGAGGGGAGAGCGTTGTCTGGTCTTCTGCTGGTAACTGGATTTGGTCGGGTGGGTGGTGGATTATGCAAACGTTTTGCCGCTGTCAACGCAAGTTGTACGCATTTGGCAGTGCGATTGAACGCAGAGTCCCCAAATCAAGTGCAGGCCCCAACTGCTGCCCACGCCCCTTTTTTGGCGAATCGTCGCTGATAACGTAAACCGCTTTGATTTTTATTTAACTGCACATTTCGCTTAGAGCATCGCAGCTTCCACAGCCGCCCTCCAATCAGTCAACCCCCACCCCGCCAACCAACTACCTCAATCGTCCACCCCCATGCCCCTATTCCACCCAATTTTCTGAGCCCTATTTCGCATTCAACTCTATTGACGTTTAATGGCAAAGTTGTGCTGAATTTTTGCTGTCGCTGCTCGAATTGCTGCGGTTTTCTGCCAAACGAATTTTCATGAATTTTCACGAATTTTCACGAATTTCACCAGTTGGCAGTTGTGCCATGGTTTCGTTTTTCTCGCTGTATTTTCTTTTTGCCCATTTCGATTTCCATTTTCCACGCATTTTCCTTCTATTTTTTTTTTTATTTTTTTTATTTTTTTGTATCATTTCTGTATTTATTTATTCGCTAGCTGCTCAGTTGCCGATGAAATTGATAATTTAGAAAATTGCTAGCAAATATCAGAGCAAATGTCGCCGGCCCCCATTGCCACCCCTATGGCCACTCCCACTCGATAACTATCGGTGCCTCCCACGCACTGTTGCCCACATCGAGATTCTCATTGCGTTTTCCAATCAGCTCCGCCATTCGCGTTTCCAATTTCATTTCGAAAATCTCTGCATATTGTGCAGTTCTATATTAAGACATTACCACTGATTGTAATCAAATATCTGCAGGTTCATTAGTAACAGATATTTCAGTAAATATTTCAGTAATAAATATAAATAATCGCCATAAACAAATATTAATATTCTTTTATAGCTTGGAGTTCGTTCGAGTAAATGAATTGAATTCAATTCAATTGGACGACTTGGGATGTCAGCGTATAGGCAGACGGTCTTACTGGACCAACATAGTGAAGTAGTCCTAATTACCTTGTAGAGTTTCTTATCAGTTGGGCCTCACAAATACCAAATATCTAAGCAAAGAGTCCATAAAATAAACAGTCTAGCCAGTCTTAAAAAGGAATTCCACATACATATGTACACATAATTCCAGACTTACAAATTCGTATAATTAACTAAATCCATCCATTCAATATGTCGCTGAGTAGTTTCAAGCCTTTTAAAATCAGTTCTCTGCATCACAGCTAAGGCAGCAGCTCTTTCAATCAGAGCTCGGAGCTGGGAGCTTAGAGCCAAAGCATTGGCAACTATCTAACACAACTGGCTGATGCATTTACTTAACTGTGCAAGCACTACCATATGTAAACGTCCTTTCCAACACTTTTTCAGCCCTACTCTCTGCCCTGCACTCTGTGTATATTGATGCAAGCGCACTCTCACTGCTCTTGCTATGGAGCTGCCTGGTTTCCAGTTTGTGTATTTATTTGCTGCTTTGCTCCTTTCATCATACCCTACAACAGCGTGCTATAGAGGCTAGGCTAGATGCTATGATTAGTATACACTATATATATACATGTATGGAATACAGACTGGCAGCTCTGCAAGCCCTAACTGCCTTTTGTCTTCGAGAGATCTGTTGAACATTTCAAGAAGTTGAACTACAATTTTGAGCTGCTCCTCCAAATTTCATCTTTGCAGTGATTATCAATAATTTGTACTGACAGCAGCACTACACCCGCTCCTTATCATTCTATCGGTCAGTATTTGCATGAGGTATACCAAGTCTTACTCTACCCTTTCATGGCTTTGGGACCTTTTGATCCGCTCATAAATCACTAATCATGCATCAATTCGAATTCAGCTAGATCTGCTCTGAAGTCAACAGTTGAACACTAAGCATCTGTCAATCAGTCTATCAATCAAAAATTTAGTCAATGTGATCTTTCATAGCTTTAAGACCTTCTGATCTTTAGAATACAGCTGAAAATCCGCTTAGCATGCATCAAGCATTCAATCAATTATTCACATGCTCAAACACAGCTTTACACTTAAGTCTAATCATCCATCAATCAGTCAATCCATCAATTAGCTATGCAATTGCATATTACTCAAGCTTCAGCTATACTGCTCAGCAGCTTACAGTTGTATGTAGACCATCCATCAATCAGTCCATCAATCATTCATTCGATGATTTATTCGTGCTGTGCTGCATTCAAGGGCATTAAAAGTTTGGTCAACTTCCAAACAACAGACGTACTTTCTTGTTTTTATTGAAATTTATGATTTCTGACTCAAAATTTATGTTGTTTTGCATTTTGTGTGTAAGTGGGTGGGGGAGTGTATGTGTGTGTGTGTGTGTGGCTGTCTGGGTGTAGGGGTGAGTGTGTCTGTGTATTCTAGGGAGCGGGCAAGTGTTTGCTTAAAAGCATAAAATAAACCTCAAATGCTCGTAAAATGGCGTACGTACAAGTCCACACACACCCGAATTAAGCCCCCTTGATGCCCGAGCTTCTTCTTCTCGCCCATTTTTTTTTTGTTGCTGCTTTTTTTTTTGTTTTTGTGTAACGCTTCTTGAGCCCTTCCGGTAGTCTAGCCACACGAACACACGCGCTTCCCACCCCAGCCCCATCTCACTAACTGTCTGTCTCTCTCGCTGTTAGTGTATGTGGGTGTTCGTGCGTGTGTGTGTGTGTGTGTGTGTGTGTAGCATCACTGCGTTGCTGTGCGGCTTTCATTTGCCCAGCTATGGCGCACAGACCAACGCGCGTGAATTATTTAATTCGAATAAATATTGAAAACTCAATTTTTTATGATGTTTTCTGGTTGGTTTATTGCGCTTTTGTGGCATTTTAATATCGAATAACTCTCCCTGGCGAATGTCCTCTCTGGGCGCCCTCTCTCTGCGTGTGTGTGTGTGTGTTTGCCTTGGTCCTATGACCCAGCCCTGTAGTGTGAAAGTTTGTTTGGATAGACAGCCGTAAAGCACAACACTTGCTGCTTACCCATTTTATAGTTAAAATATGTACACACACACACGCGCACACACACCCACAGACACACACTTTTTATAGAGTTTTTCGTTGTACAAATAACCGAAATTCAGAGCTAATTATGCATGGGAATGAAGCGCACATAATAAATGGCACAAATCGCAAATAAATTTCAATTTTATTGCCTGCGATAAGGGCGAAGATTATTATCTAAGCCGGCTTAAAAATAGATTGAATTAAGCCGGGCTTAAGGCAGGCATTAAGCAGTAGATGCCGCACAATCTCACAATAATTAATTAAATGTTCCCTTTTTTATTTTATTAACTTGAAACCGTTTTCAGTTCCAGTGAAATATATATGAGGGTATAACAAGCGAGCCTTGAGCTTATGTACGTCTTCATCACATAACTCGACTGAAAATATGTAGATAAAAAATATAAACAAAAAAGAAAAAGGAAAAAAAAAGCAAACAAACAAACATAGTCTCCTCTGTCAGTCTGTCTGTCTGTCGGACTGTCTACTCTGTGCTTAGCCATAAGTTGACTCTACATATATTCACCATGCGATATAATCCGCAATAGAAGAAAATTGTGTAAAATTTGTGCTGGTTGCACTGATTAAGAATGGCTTACTGCTTGGCTGGTCGGGCAGTCCGGCCGTTTGGCCGTTTGGCTGTCGGGCAGTTAGTCCTGGCACCCGTTTGGGGAATCCTTTGAAAACCGAAAGATGTATGGACCAGCAGTCCTGCATCTAATATGTGCGAAATTTATCAACAACGATACTGTCTGCCATACAAAAGGCGCACAAGGATGAAGGCAACCGACATGGAAAATCGCAATAATAATTTTCCAGTTCAGCCTTCCGTATCCTCATGTGTCTGTGTGTGTGTGTGTGTGTTTGGCTGTGCTGTAACTCTTAAGTGGGTAATACCCATAGTTGTAAGAGCATACTGTATGCATGGATTGGTGGTCAGCAGGCATGTGACTAACTATGCGATGTGGACAATCGCAGCCAGAACATCAGGGATTATATGATATTCTTGAGGGGCTTGGGGGCAGCGGTCGGCGGTCGCACAGGCGGCGAAGTCTGAGAACCAAATTGAAACAGATTTCTCGCTTTGCATATGCTCAACTATGTATAACTTATATATTTGCTTGTAGTTCAGTGTAGTTTACAGTTTACAGTTTACAGTTTACAGTAACAGTTAGAATAAATTGTAGAATACATTTGCAAACACATCTCTCAGATCCACTCTCGGCATTCAACTCGTTGCTCGGTATGTGGGAACGAAGGGTTTCATTAAATAGCATTTTCGTATATATGTATGTATATTTGCTTAGGTACTTATGCGTTTCAGGTTATCAAGTTTCTCGTAAAGCCGTGTTTGTCGTGTTCGCCGTGTGCCTTAACAGCCGGCCGGATGCATAAAGCCCTGGATATGATGACCCAGTGTGTGTCTATGAAACCATTGTGTATTAAGCTACATGAATAAATTGTATATTAGGGTATATCATCGTCATATACTCACCCAAGATCATGTCCTTTACGGCTGTTCAACTTTGTGTAGAGTACTAGCAAAATTAGCGCTTGACCTGTAATCAAAAGAATCTGTTTGCTGGAGTTATTGCTTAGCCAGGCCAACAGCCTTTGGTCTGCCAGACTATTGCTCTTATACGCTGACGATATGACACGGGCACTCAACCTAGCATCTTCTCGACGTTCACGCCTCTCATTCTCCATTGACCCCCTATCGGCTAAAGTCTCGCGTTCACGACGTTCCATGCCACGAAGATTTTCGATCTGTTGTCGATTGTCTTCCCGCATATCAATACGTTCTCCACGTCGAGAGATATCGGCATCACGATCTTCTCTTCGAGATTCACCGCGTTGCTCGTGTCTCTGGCTGCGGGAGATATCTCGCTCTTGATGACGGCGGTCGACCTCTTGATTCGCTCGCCGCTCCATGCGATCCTCTCGTTGGATAACAACGCGTTCGTCTCGTCGATTCTCATGTTGATCTTCAAAACGCTCTTCACGCCGAGAGCCAACGATCCGCCGCATGTCTTCCGTAACACGTTGACGATCTTCGCGTTTCTGTGTTCGCTCCTCACGGTTTACGAGACGGAAATCAGTGCGTTCTCCACGACTTACATGGCGGAGATCGTTTCTTTCCTCTTGTCGAACAACACTTGAGCGCTGAAGTTCTTCCCGTTCTTGTTTCCTCTCTTGATTTATTTGATTCATCTCATCTCGTTCCACGTTCACACGACGGCGGGTCTCGAGCTGCTGTCTTCGAGCAGTGTCCAACAGATCAACTCGTTCAGTCTGTCGTCGAGTTTCGCGCTCTGCGCGCGTTACATCCCGACGAGCTTCACGCTCCTGTCTTCGAGATGTATCGCGGGCTTCACGTAGTTGTACAGTGCGTTCCTCTCCACGACGACTATTACGTTCTGTCTGCTGAAGGCCATCAGGTTGAAGTCCACGACGAGACACCATATCGGAGTCTCGAACTTCTCGATCATGACTTTGTGTAGTCTCAATTTCAACTCGTCGCATACCCTCCCGATTGGCACGCCTTTCATCGCGCTCTGCATCCACACGCAGCAACCGATCCTCACAGCGACGACTGTCACGTTCCTCATTTCCACATCGCTGAATGTCTTCTCGTAACTCAAGTCGTCGCAATGCATCATCACGAATATTATTACGCTGTTCCCTTCGGAGATCGGAGCGTTCTTCTCTTCGTGTATCGTCATCACGTTCCTCCCTTTGGAGATCAGAGCGTCCTTCCCTTCGGAAATCATCTCGTCCCTCCCTTCGGAGATGTTCGCGCTCTTCTCGACGGATGCCCTCTTCGCGTTCCTTTCGGCGAATATCATCACGTTCCTCCCTTCGAAGATCTAATCGTCCTTCGCTTCGTATGTCCTCTTTTCGACGAGCATCATCATGTTCCTCTCTTCGGGCAGCTTCGTGTTCCTCATGTTCCTCCCTACGGAGATCAAAGCGTCCTTCCCTTCGGAGACCTTCTCGGCGAATATCGTTGCGTTTCTCCCTTCGTAGGTCTTCGCGTTCCGCACGGCGAGTATAATCACCCACCCCTTGGAAATCATCGCGGCTTTCCATACGAATATCATCACGTTCCTCCCTTTGGAGATCAGACCGTCTTTCGCTTCGAGAATCTACATTTCGGCGAGCATCATCACGTTCCTCTCTTCGGGAATTTTCGCGTTCCTCACGACGAATATCATCATGTTCTTCCCTACGGAGATCAGATCGTACTACCCTTCGGAGATCTTCCCGGCGAATATCATAGCGTTCGTCCCTTCGGAGGTCTTCGCGTGTCACTCGGCGAGTATAGTCACCCACCCTTCGGAAATCATCGCGGCTTTCCATGCGGATATCATCACGTTCCTCGCGGCGGATATCCTTTTCGCTTTCCTCTCGCCGAGTATCATCACGTTCCTCCCTTTGGAAATTGTTGTGGCCTACGGTGCGAAGATCGTCACGCTCCTCTCTTCGGGAATCTTCGCGTTCCTCTCGACGAATATCATCATGTTCTTCCCTACGGAGATCAGATCGTACTACCCTTCGGAGATCTTCTCGGCGAATATCATCGCGTTCCTCTCTTCGGAAATCATCGCGGGACTCCATGCGAATAGTATCACGTTCCTCTCGGCGGATATCATCACGTTCCACTCTTTGGAAATTGTTGTGACTTACGGTGCGAAGATCATCACGTTCCTCCCTTCGGAGATCTTCTCGACGAATATCATCGCGTTCCTCTCTTCGGAAATCATTGCGGGACTCCATGCGAATAGCATCACGTTCCTCTCGGCGGATATCCTTTTCGCGTTCTTCTCGCCGAACATCAAAACGTTCTTCCATTCGGAGATCAGAGCTTTCCTTTCGAAGATCTTCGCGTTCCTTTTGGCGATTGGCATCACGTTCCTCTCTTTGGAAATCATTGCGGCTTTCTATGCGAAGATCATCACGCTCCTCCCTTCGAATATCAGAGTGGCTTTCCCTTCGGAGATCTACACGGTCATCTCGGTTAACAGCATCACGTTGTTCCCTTCGGAAATTGTTGCGTTGTTCCCTACGATTATCGTCGTGGTCCTGTCTCCGGAGAACAGAGCTTACTTCCCGTTGCAGATGCACTCGGCGAGTGTCATCATGGATATTATCACTTTCCTCTCGGCGAATATCATTCCGTTCTCCCCTCCGCAGATCTGAGCTTTCTTCTCTTTCGAGCTCATCACGTTTCTCCCGTCGACGAGCATTCGGTTCCTCTCGGCGAATGTAATTACGTTCCTCTCGGCGAATATCATCACGGGTATCTCCACGTTCAGCCTCTCGGCGAACATGATCGCGACGAGCAGTGTGTCGCACTTCCCTGCGAGTGTCCCGCCTGTCATCACGAGCAAGCAACTGTACGCGATCCTCTGGGTCTAGTCGTGCTGACCAATCATCGCGCCGACTGTCCTCCCGATGCAATGGCTTGTGATTCCTCTCATTTACTTGTCTATATATAAGATGCTCGTCGTATTCCTCTAGGTCACTTCGATGATCGTTGATTGAGCGATACAGCGGCTGCAATGGGCATTGCTGCTGCCGATTGCTGCATGCCTCGGTGTTGGCATGGATGAGGTTCAATCCGCCCAGCTGGAGGAGCAGAACTAGAATGTTAAGCCTTAACCATTGGGGATTCGCGGCCATCCTTTGGTGTTCTAAGTACTCCGTTTATGTGGTGCAGTTGTTAGCTCCGCTGTGCTTCGACTTGGATCAGGATTCTCTATGTGGTAGCAGTTACTTGAGCAAGTCTCGGAACTTGAATGACTAGCCCGGTTGCCAGGCTGGCCTTTTATACCAGATTTGTATTAAGAGCACACTAAGTCCTCACATACAACGCCCACGCAGCGTTTGAGCCGCAGTATTCTCAATGAATCTCAATTTTCCATTGATTGATTCAATTTCGCTTATCGCACATGTGCACCAATGCGCTTTTGTCCAGGCGAAGAGAACTTCGCTCAACTGGCTCTAATGCGTAGATTGTTCTTTTTCTTTTTACCAGCTTATTTTTTGCAGTTGAAACTTTTTATGAATGAATTTCAACTCGAGCAGCTGTATGGTGTGACGTCATAGGAGAGAAAAAATTACGGTGTACTACGGCTCATTGATTTCCAAAAATAAATGCAAGAGGAAGAAAACTAGGGCTCATGTATGTGTGAGCAATTGGCGCTATTTTTGAATCTAATGATGATTCAAATGACTGAGTGGAGTGAGTTGTGAAATTGAATATGAATTTTCCTTAGGGTAATAGTAAAATGTAAAATATCTAATGAGTTCCAACCAGATGGCCTTATGTATATTAACCACAAATAGTACTGAAATATATAGGCAGTACTAAATAGAAAGGAAGTTCCTCAATTGATCTTAAATCTATAAACAACGGTATTGCTGTATATTTCGAAATATGTATGTACTTATGTACAAATCAATAATTTGACTACTCAAAACCATTGATTCTAATAGAGCACACTTTCCTATTCACTTCTCTCCATTGAAGAGTCACACATTCATATACTATATATAGGCAGTAGATGCCTATTTACTAGCTATTGAAACGAAATAAACATTTCGAGTGTGACGTCAAGGCTTCATGTACTTCGAGCTAAGACAGACACAGTGCTTAGGTCGTCTGCACAAATGCGATAAGAGCGTTTCCAATCAAAATCGAATTAAAGTGCAATGAACAATATGTTGGCTCACTCGTCGAACAAGTGCTAAATAAATGAATTAGGTTAGATGCGCATCTGGGCGTAAAATTGCGTTGAAGCTGAAGCAACTGAGACCCCGGTCGAGATGCTCCTATAAAAGCAAATGTGTGTAGTCCACACGCTTGGCATTTGCCTCTCAGCCTCAGTCGATGGCACGCCGGTCGTGCCGGCTGGTACGTCCACCCGACATAGCTGGTTACCGCAGCAAAACTGGAACCGTTGGAAGGAGGAGATAGCGAGAGTGAAGAAAATTGTTGTAATACTTGGTCACACCTTTGAAGCAAAAGTTTAAATAAATAATTATCTTTATCTACTTAGGACTACCCTACTAGCAAGAGAATGTGAATCCCCCGTTGAGGAAATATGAGAAGCAAGGCAGGAAAAAAACTTGGCTCATTTTTCAAAATGAAGCCGGGAAACAAACTCACAACTACAGTTGTAGCCATTTGTTAAGCGGCCCAAATTGGATGTACTTTACATAATAATCGCATATATATACCAATGTTTCCATACTACATACATATATACATATATATAACCTAATGGTATTTTAACGATGTTAAATGTTGCTGTTGTTTGGGATCGTATTGTCACAAGAATGTCCTCTTGTCAAAATCGATTAGCATTTCATATTACTCGCAATCTATACTATATATATACATATATATACTTAACCAACTTATTTACCAATTGTTATAAATACGTATGCCATGCCTAAAAAGACAACATACAAGAAGCACATACATATGATAATATATTGACATACTTAATCGTGCCCATGTTAGGCACAAATATCTAATACTCTATCAATCTATAAAGCCTATACTCGTAAATTGCAAAATAAAATTTATTAACCCATGTGTTGAGCAAGCGAAAGCCATTAAATATCGTTTCAATTCAAACATAAGTGGTGGAATTTTTGATGGGAAGAACTTACCCCAAACACATTGAAAGTGGGAATAACGGTTTTGTTCAAAGATATATAACAAACAGATGGAGGCGTGGCAAAGTCGAAACAGTCTACATATTCTTGAACAGAGTGCCGAACTGAGTGAATATAGCCAAACCCCTCATTCCATCTATCCGTCTGAATGAATGGAACCATCTCGGAGACTAAGGTAGAGATTTTAATTTGATATATATATTTCTATATAGAAGTGTACAGCAATACGCACCTTTAATTGAAAAATTACGACTGCCTAAGTGCAGTTATTCAGTTCGCAAAGATATAAAACAAAGATATGAAACATCAGGGCTCAGAAAATCTTCTAGTCAGGCACTCCCGGTTAGAGCACTCGTTAGTGGTTTTTTTTTTTTACCATAGTCGAACCAATAATATTAATTATATATTGAGCCAGTTATCTTTGGATTATGGATAGATAGAACAACATATCTAAATAGACCAAATGTCAATAGCTATATCATAGAATTGCAAACTATATGATTCCATATACAGTAAGCAAACCCTTAATTCAATAAAATTTCTGCAATATTTAAAAAATTACCAAATAATGAAATCCAGTTATTTGTTATAATTTTTAATTTTAAATATTATATTTTGTTACTCTTTACAATTATTGCAATTTCATTGTTTGTTACACTTTCAATGTCTTTTGCTGCGTTGCCTTTGAATTTTTTTTTAAGTTGTCATTTGCTGTTGCTTTATTTAAATATTTAATGTTTTTATATTCGTTCGTTCTCTTTGGCTAAAAATGATCAAATTAACAAAGTGGCAAAATGTTTTGCTAATTTAATTTCATATTCATATATAAATAGTTAAATGTTCATTTCAAATATTGTTGCTGTTGCTGTTGTGGATTGTTAGTCAAATCGAAAAACTTTTAAAATCTTGCACAATTATAATTTATTATCTTGTTTGAAATGTTTTCTCTTTTGTTTTGTTGTAGATTTTATTGAAATGTGCGGCTTATTAATTGCATTTAATTAGTTTTTGTTTACGCTGTTTATCGCTTTATCGCTTTATAATTGTTTATGCATTTTGTACATTCCTGTTACTTAATTCAATTCAACAATATTTGATTTTGTTTAACAATAAACTTAATAGATTTGTCTTTTATTAACTTGGTTACCAATAAACTAATTTCGTTAATTGTTTTTTAAAACCTATTTAAAATTTCGCTTGTACAAAGTGCAATACATAGATTAGAAGAGACAAGGGGAGAGAGACAGAGACAGACAGAGAGAGAGAGAGAGAGAGAGAGAGGGAAAGAGTGATAGAGAGGGGTATAGCGAGTAAGTCTTAGTGTATGTGTGCAACTGTGTGTGTTTTTCATTATTTCTCAACAAATTTGTATAATTTTTCTATATATTATCATTAATTATAAACTTTCTTATGTTCTCCATTTGATGTTTTTTAGAGCATTTAGCGGCTGAGCTTTAACATATCGATCGACGATTTTGCATATTGGTTTCTGTTTCTCATAGATTATATAAACAAATTTAACATTGGGTTTCGTACTCCGATTCAATTCGATTCCATTAAATATCATTTACCATATTATATATAACTTGCAATCAACATTTCTTTTATTTAATTTCCGCTTTTGTTTTGCTTAAATATCATTTTTGTAGTGAGTTTATAATCTTTTTTTTGCCTATTAAGTTTCTCGTTTTAGTTTTTATATAATGTATAATTTTGTTGCTAAACAAATCAATTGTCATTTATAAATTTGGTTTGACCCTGGTTTATATTTAACTATAAATTTTGATGTAAAATTTGTCATTTTCGTTCTATAAATTTGGTTGTTAATCTCTAAAAATACATAGCATATATGTATGCGTGTATATACGTGTATATGTGTTTGGTAAAACTGAACTAATCAGAGTCAGAATCAGAATCAGAATTAGAATCAGAATAATAGTCGAATTGGTTTTCATATAATTATCATTCAAACAGCATTATGGTAATGTGTTAGCTTTGGCTTCATTTTACTTAAACATACATTCTCCGTTTCTAATCGAATTATAATATGACAATCAGAATCATGATCATAATCGTGATATATTAGAGCGTCTATAACTCTATAATGGTTACGTACACAAGCACAAAATATTTTCATATTTAAATGCAACTAGTTGGCTGCCTCTTAAGATGAACTACAAAAATGCCGTTAGACCGAAACTTAGCTTAATAAATGAATTTCATATAATTGAGATTATAAATAAGTATGTTCCAGTTGCTAAAGTTTTTGAGTGATAAACGACTTGATCAGTTTTCTAAACTATACAATTTCATGTTTAAAATGTTGTTGGCCTATTTAGTAGCCTCACTAGCAACGCTTTACATAATTTAATTTTGTTTTAATAGGAGTGTTTTCTTTTCTTCTTCTTTCTATAGTTTTTCTGTTTCGTTTCTTTGCATTTATGCCTTAAATAATTGGGGAAATTCGTTGGCTATCTCGCGCACCAGCTGCTGATCGGATGCGCTGCATTCGGTCTCCTCGCAAAAGATGCGCGTAAATATCTTCATTAGATCATGCTTGCGATGCTGATGGTCCTGATAGTTTGTGTTGCGCAGGATGCGACGGCACAGCTCCAAATAGCATGGGCGTGTCTTAATGAAACATAAACATATATATATTTATCATATGCACAAACTTTTCATTCCTATATATATATATATATATAGATGTACTTACCGCACTACCCGCATCCAAATCGGACAGCTGACGCACCACAATATCGATTAGCACCTTAATGTCGTTCGTATAGAACATGCCGGCCGTATCCGTATGGCTGAATATGTCAATAAACATGCGCAGCACCGTATTCATATGCTCATTGTGATGCTTCAGCAGGCGCGTTGGATCATCTATTTCAAGTATTCGATTATATAGTAAGTATATGTGATGTATCTATATAAAGTACCACTTACCCTCTCGATTTAGCAACAGCAACAGCTTCTCGGTGAACACTTTGGCTGTGGGCAGATTCTGCATGGCCTCAATGATCACATTCACCGTATGATCGCCAAACTGTTGATTGAAGGCCAATATCAGGGCGATTACCATGTCCACGAGCTGTTCCGGATTGTTTCCTTCCACAATTTCCAGCAGAAAGCTGGCAAAGTGCACGCCCAAATAATCTAAATTTGAATTGTAAATCACAAATTACAATGGATGCATTTGATACGATTCAAATATATATATAGTATATCTAGTATAATACACACCCTGATGATTCACGGGCATGGGCTGGCCCAGTGAGAAGATGATTGTTAACATTTTGACCAACTGTTTGAAGCGATCCAAATTGGAAAAGTGCGTCTTCATATCCTCCACCTGATCGACAGAATAGAAAACTGTAATTAACTCCATGTCAACTGTTGCAATCGTCAACTTACAATCTCCAGGGGCAGCACTGAGGTTAGCAGTATATCAACAATGATGTGATCCAAGTGACAGGCAGCAGTGAAAGTCTTAAGCAACAGTTTCTTGATGGACCAACGTGTCTCCATCTGATAGTATTGTACCAGATTGATGAACATCTGATATTGATCACACGACATCTCATAGCAGCTGATGTTCTCATCAGCGTTATTCTGCAATGATACAAGAACGCAGTAAAATGATTGATTGATTGATCTGACTTTGTGCAGTGCGAGGCGTATACCAGGAGGTTTTCTGAAAAGATACTTCTATTAAATGTTCCTTCGTCTCTATGCTTGCCACAGAAATTTAAGCCACAGATTCTGTTTCTAGTTCCTTAATTGGAAATTATACTTTAAATCGATATTTATCGATTTAAGCCAAACTACAAAGTTTCATCTTACATGTAGAGAAAGCAGTCTATAATAATCTATGGCAAATTTTGCACATCTAGTTATTAATGTCTAGAATATAAATGAACGTCGATATTAATCGATTCGATATTAATATTGAGTTACCAACACTATGCTGTCTTATCAGTGCCATCACAATTTTCGAAATCCGAATTTCGTCTGTTACATCTCTCCTGCTCTATGCCTTATCTCGCTTTAACTTCAGGACAGACATAGTCTCCTATTAAAAAACCGGAGGACAACAGTTCATTCAGTTATTGTAACGGACGCTAGTTTTCAAAATCCATGAAAATCCGAAAAACGGATTTAATCACTTTGGAATATCTTCAAACCTGTAATACTAGAGCTTTTCCAGTTTTGAATGGTATTCAGCATTTCTAACCTCTATAGAACAAAGTCTAATATTTGATTAGAACACTTTGCTATTCTTCACAATCTTGCTCAATCAATTTCAATTTGAACCGTCCATACCAGTATCTCAACGAGCTCCTCAAGAAACTGTATAATATCCTCCTCGTCCTCGTAGAGCATCCAGGTGCGTTGTTCCGTGTCGTTCTTGCAGTCGGCCAACTGGGCAAACAGATATTGTAATCGCTTGGAGTCGTGCGTGATGCCCAGCAGCTCTTTGGGCGTGGCCACCTTGCCGGTGACGTGCACGGCGACTGCCTCCAGATACGGATTGATGGCGCCATTGTATAGCTGCTCCAAGCTGGTTAGCACCACGCGCAGCGCCTCGCATGACAAATCAAAGCTGAGATTCGTATTGCGACGCAGTGCATCCACAATCTGATACACATCGGATGACTCAACTTTCAGCTGGCCACGCCCATTGTCCAGAGTACCATTGGCGCCGGCTGTAAGACTGGCGCCCAATCGATGCGAGAGCGAGGGGCTGTCGATGCTGTCCAGCGCTTGGCTATTGTCGCCGCAGCCATTGCAGCCATCATCGCTCGCCTCTGACTTGTCGGGCGCACTGTCCGCGCCCTGGCTGAGGCTCAGACTGAGCTGCTCGTCGTGCACAGCCGTGGAGCTGTTGCCATTGTGTGGCTTGTGCTTCACAGCTGCTCCCACTTCTTCACCTGATCCTGAGGCTGCTGCTGCAGCGGCTGCTTCTGCTGCCGATGCAGTGGCTGTCGCTGCGCTGGCGGCGGCGTTGGCTGCAGCTGCAGCTGATGTGGCACCGTTACTGGTGCTCAGCTGGCTGGTCTCCTTGTACGTGGTCACCACATCCTCGCTGGTGGTCGTAGTTGTTGTTGTCGTCTCAGACGGCTCTGAGGTGATGCTATTGTCCTGCGCCACATCCGAAACGGAGCTACAGACCTTTTGTGCTTGTGTGGCAGCAGCCGCCGCTGCTGCTGCTGCTGCAGAAGTGCTGGCCGCCAGCGGAGGCGCCGGCAGAGGCTGCTGCTGTTGCTGCTGTGGCGTCTGTATGGTGCAGCTGCTGCTCTGCAGCTGCATGCTGCCCATGCTAGGGGACTCCGGCATCGATTGCTGCACACTGACCCCCACCGCCGGACTGGACATGCTCTTCTTGCTCATGTCCAAGCGTTGCGTAGCAGGCGGACTATTCTGTTGGGATTTCTGTTGATGCGGATGCGTGTGCGAGTGCCGGTGGGAGTGGCTGTGGCTGTGGCTGTGACTGCCGCTCAGCTGCTGCTTGTCGCTGTAGCTGTGCGAATAGGACAGCGATGAGTCACCGTCACGCTCCGAGCTCTCCTGCAAGGTGAGCCAAACAAAACGAAAAGTTAACATTGAATATCTATTGTTGTATATGTAGCTGCATCAGTATGGGCATTCGTTTCTATAGCATTATTTGTATCTGTATCTGTATATGTACCCGAATCTTGGTCTCTGTGTGCATATGTATCTGACTCGTATCTGACAACGTATCCATATATATCTGTGTCCGTTTCTATATCTGCATTATGTTTATCTGGACCTACTATATTTGTATMTGTATCCGTATGTTTATCCTAATTTCTATCTGTATCTGTATCTGCATCTGTATCTGTATCTGTATCTGTACCCATGTTTAATATCCTTATCTATAGCTCTATCTACATCATTATCGCCGATATATATATATATATACATATGTATATCTACATTGAATCAATGCTAACCGCATAGAGCCGTTCCATGGTGTGCTTCTTCTCTCGCAGTCTGTCGAGGAGCTCCTCCCTGGACATGATGCCATTAATCTCTGGCTCAGTGCACTTCTCCAGCGACTCAATCGATGAGTTGAGGAAGCTGATGAGAAAATCATGTTCCACCTGCCGAACGAACAAGAAAATCTTAATTAACTGTCACTCCACTTCGGTAAGCAGACACTTTACCTTAATCTTCATTACGTAATTGGATGGCACAAAGCCAATGTTGCCCTTCATGCTGACCACCTGCCACCAATTCCGTTGGCGTGCGGAGGTCTGGTAGAGTATAAAATATTCGCCCTCATCAAAGCTAATGGTTTTCGGATAAACCGCTTGAAAGTCGTACAGAGCCTTCAGCATCTCGATGCCGTTGCCGATGTCGATGCCGCCGCCGCCGACGCCGCTGCTGTCAGGTGCTGTCGGTCCTGCCGCTGCTGCAGCCTTTGTTGTTGTTGTTACTGCTGCTGTTGTGGGCGATGTTGGTGCTGCTGCTGCTGCAACAAACCATGTGACAAAAGTGTTCTATTGTTTAATATCTGTGCATTCAGAAAAAGTAAAATAAAATGTCAAAGGGGCGTGACAAGCACACATACACTCTCACTCTTCCTCACTCACACACACTCACACAACACCAACCGCAGAGCGCAGCGAAACGTATTTCGAGTTGCAGTCGCGGAGGCCTTTGCTTTTCCTTGCGGCCCTTCCTGGCAGCCAGGCACTAAAAAGTTCACTGCCGAGGGCCCAAACAGCTAACGGTTGCTTTGGCTTGGCCTACACACACATACATTCACAACACACACACACACACACACACACACACATGAAACACACAGAGCGCAAGGCACGAGCGCATGAAACGAATAAGCGACAGTAGCAAAATAGGAAACAAGCATCAAGAAAAGCGACACAAAGCAGCGTAAAGCCAAAGAAATTACAAAAGCGCACAGGAAAAATGCAATTTGCATATTGTGTGTGTGCGTGTGTACATTTGCCGTGTCCTTTTAAGCCTGCTTTAGCTTACATTGTATTCACACTCACACACACACACACACACACACACACAAAAGCTTTAGCTGTGTGTTAGTAATAAAAACAAAAAATAACAGGACATACCACTGCTCCGTTCTCGCACTCTCAACGGCTGGCTCTCACGCGCGCGTCTTCACACTCTCTTTCTGTTGTATTCAAGCTCTTTCTCTCTCTCTATCTTCGCCCTGTCTCAGTAGCGCTCTCGGCGTTGGGTATCTAACCCATTCAACTGTCAATTGCGTCTGTGACCATTGTCACCTGCAAGCACTACACACGCACACATACATACACAAAGGTAGTTTAGCAGAGACACACATGCACACATACTCATGCAAATTTGTCAAATGTTGAAAACAACCCACTTACCCATATTTTTTAGCACACCTTGCTTTTTCACGCTGTATGCGCCGTGCGCGTCTTTGCCGTCCTTTTTGTCTCTTCCTATTGTTCTTTTTATGCCTGCTCCAGTTTTGACGTTTGCCGTTACCAAGGACGTTACGTTTTTATTCGACTTATTGTTACACTTTGCGACACTTGGCAACACTGTCTGTTGCTGCTGCTATTGTCGTTGTTGTTGTTGCTTTTCCTACGGTGGAGCCTTTTTCGTCATATGCAACACTTTATGACTATCGCCCTGGGCGTTTTCCGTTTTGCCGTAATGCGGCTGTACACTCATTCATACACATGTTATTTACAGTTGCAAGTTGGACAGCGTTTATTTATCACTTGTTGTTGTCAGAGATGTGACGAGGAGGACAGGCACTTCAGCCGTTTTGTGCAGCCATGTATCACGTCCACCTCAACACGTAGCCTGTTGCCCCACGAACGAGCACTATGTATTTGTTACAATCAATTTAAACTGATTTGGTTTGCAGTTTTCCCGGTTTATTTATTTATTGGCAAATGAGTTTTTGCAATTTCCTTGTATGTTCCATCATTGACTCTAGGCTCGCCAACTGTGTTTGCAAGAGCGGCGGCACACTCACACACACAAAGATATGTGCTGCTCAGGCAAAGGAATTCTACAGAGCTTCGCAATGCATGGACATGTTTGCGTGTATGTGTATGTATACACACATGTACCCCACCCAAAAGCACACACACCCTCTCGCAACTACTTATAATGTAACGGTATTTTTTCGTGTTTGTTTTGCTCGGAATAGAGAGTGTGAATCAAAAACATGCATTGTTGCAGTGACTCACGCACATAATCAAATCCTTGGCACAAGGGCACTAGAAATGTAATTTAGTTCTACATAAAGTGCGTGACGTAGTTCACGATGAAACCGCAATGTGTTGTTTCCAGCTGATTTCATAATTATGTATATTAAACTGTCATTAAAGACGTGAGCAAATGCAAACTCAAAATACGCAACACTTGGGACAACGCTAAATGCGCAACATAGAACGTAACATTTAAACGCACGTTGTCTGCCAAAAATAAATAAAATATGTATATGGAAGTTGAATGTCAATGTGTAGCTCGGATGTAAACAAAACGAATAAAACAACGTAGCGAGCCCAACGTAAAGCTAACATGCTCTTTTTAACAGTAACAGCGCTATACTACAGAGCGCAAAACGGAGCAACGCTAACGCAAAGTGCGCTAACGTTAAAAGCTAAATTGAAATCTGTACGCAGATCCGCGAGCAAAGATAAATAACACTATAAGTTTGTTACAAACATATTTGTTTCGTTTTTTCCTTTTATTTGCATTTAGTGATTGGTATACATATGTAGATAATAATATGCACTTGATATTATCAAAATACTGCGTTTGCTCTTATGGGCAGGGTAGGCATTCAATTTGAAAACCAAAAAATCAACATACATATATCGAAATACGTTTTTAATCATATATATGTATGTATATATAAACTTAAATGCTCTGCTCACCATGCCATGTGCATGATAATTTTCAAGTGCTGTACATTTCTTTTAAATTGGCTAAAAATATTATATTGTGAATTATGTATATACTTTTTTTTTTGTTTTTTTGTATAAGTACAGTGTGAATTAATTAAAGGATTGTTTATCAAGTCAATTTATTAATTATATGTGTATGTAAAGATGTTCAGCGTCCAACTCTTTGAATTCTCTATTAACGCTAGTCTAGTTAAAAGTTTAATATTTCCCTAACCTCTGTTGCACCATAGCCCAACGTCTTGTCCATTAATTAACGCTGTCGTTTAACTAATCATAAGTCCTAAGTACATTTTTTGTGAATATGAAATCGATTTTTCATTCAGAAGGCATTTCTCATAACGTTCGATGAATAAAGAACATAAATATATATTTTACATATATGTATATATGTATACATCTATGAACCGTACAAAATGGTTATGCAAAACAGTTATAGACATATGTTTACAAATTTGATTTACTTTCATAAGTTCTATTAATGCATGTCTATATGTGTCTGTGTATTTTATATATTTTTTGATTTTTGATTTTTTTAAAGATCAACTTTTATTATTTTGAATATTTAAATATTATTATTATTCTGGTTATATACCAAAGTAAATTTTTAACAATCGGTTTTAA